TAAAAATATTGTGTAGGTAGGGGATATAATCAATCACAACTAAGCACAGCTCAAATAGGAAGTCCTAAAATACAAGGAATTTCCTAAAACTGTGCTGAATAATTTCAAACAACAAGTATATTTAATAAGATCAGTGTTTGAAGACAGTTCTGTTAACAGAAAAAAAGAGAAAAACACTGTCTAATAAGTTATTCCTTATAATTAGACCTGCTCAGGAATTTTCCCTTGGAGTCATTTTTAACACAAAATACAATTCAGAAAATCAAAATGCAATTGCCATAGCAAGCAAAGGAAAAACCGAAGTCATATATGTCATTTCAAGTCAATGTGACACAAAAAGAAATCCTATGGTTTTTGAACGGATTACAGAACTACATAGGTGAGTTTAAGAAAGTAAAAAGAAAAATTTGGTTCAAGATCAGTGAAGTTCTTCATTTCAGTTGAACGTGTCAGAATGAAATGTCACTGCTCCAGTGGCAATACAGCAGAGGTACCAGTGATAATTGTAATTTTAGATGGCATTTGTAATGGAAAGGGATCTTCAATAGCATACTTTATGCAAATCCATGTACTGTGGTTGGCTACTCCCTTCAGAATGCCCAGGTCCCTGTGCTTCTAACACACACACCTGTTCACTTTCACACTTCATCCTATTATGATTTAATTCATGTCAGTGTTCAAATGACATTGCAGCATAACTATGACAATGCAAAGGTGTTTCCTCTGAACCCAATAATCTACTAGAAGCACCGCAGCTTTCACTAGCAGAGAGCATTAAACCACTTCTGGAGAGTGACCCCCTTGGAAAGCACCAATGGGACAGGCAGTCTGGCCACATTTACCTTTCAGTGTTTCGTTACTGCCTTCTGTGGGGGACACTGGTGGGAATGGTGTTTCCAAACAAACAGCAATTCCTCAACAATTCTACCAACTTCAGCAGGAGCAGTGACAGGGACCAGTGCTACAGAGAGCAGCTGGTTGCTGACCATCTCCTCTTCACCAAAAAAACCCTCTGAATGGCTTCCCAAAAGCTCAAGGAACCAAGAGGGAGGAAGTCCTCAGAGACTGCATGCCATTCCCCTCCTTTCCAGATGTGCAAGGTCAGGACTTTATTGTAGTTGTAAGCATCATCTTGTGGCACTACTAAGTTTATCCTTAGTGGGCGCATCTACACAAGACACTTACTGCGCAGTAGCCTAATAACACTGCACAGTAGGCGTGTGGTCAAAAACCGTGCTAATACACTACCATGCAGTGTTATTAGGCTACTGCGCAGTAAGCGTCACAAAAAAACTGCCAGCTCTACTGTGCAGTAACTAGTTACTGAACATTTAGTTAGTACTTCATTAAGCAAGTACTAAACTAAATGTGCAAATGAAGTAGTTTGCCCACTGTCCACAAAGCAGCTCAGGTTCATACTGTAGCTGCAATAAAAGAAAGGTGATCTGCTTCCCACCTGGCAATGGGTCACCTTTGCAAAGCTGTCCCTTAGTCAAAAATCAGCTTTGACACTGAGCTATATTCCCATCTACACTGGGCTCCCCCTTGCATGTCGTCTGCCAAGGCCTCAGCAAATCATATTTTGTGTTACTGCCCAGTTAAAGAGATTGTGCAACCTGACTAAGTTAGCACGTAACTGCAGGCTTCCCCATAGTTAACTGTGTCGTTTGTTCCACTTTAACTTACCTTTGACCAAGTATTCTCTTTGCTGAGCAGATCAGCATAGAAGTATGCCATCTTCCACTGGCGTTTATAAGTGAAGCACCACATTAGTTCCCAGTAACACATGTGATGGAATTGCTTCCAGTGCTGCTGAGCTTCACAGCATTCCTCATACCTACTAACTGCCTGAACAAAGGAAAGTCCAAGCATAACTATAATCATCTGGTCACATGTCAAACGTATCTCTGCAATGAAGGGCATTGGGACCTAGTATTGCTCCAATGTGTTGAGTGCCCTCAGAGTAGAGGGTGCTCAGCATTTCTGCTCATCAGGTTGACCGATTTCATTGGAGCAGAATCAGACTCTTGGCTCCATACTCATTTCCAGGGAGAGGAGCATTTGTTACAAGAAATAATCGGGAAACTAAAGTCAGGAGGCAGAACCTCAGCTAGTGCATACTGCTATAGCAAGCAAAGGAACATAACTGCAGTAGAAAGCATAACAAAAAACTAATTAACACTGGAGAACCGTTACTATCATCAAACTGGAAGAAGGGCAGCACAGTGCAATGCATCACATTCAGCTCTCACACACAAGAGATGTGTAATTGTTCCGTTTGCCATGGCTACTGTTCAAAAGTAGGCACAACTGTTTGACACCAGTTCTGCAGCCAAAAGTCATCTGTAGCTGGTAGAATTTCTGCTGAGTTACCAAACAGTTTAATTAAATCAGGAACTGCATTGTCTGAGATACATTTAGTCAGCTGCTGTTCAACTAAAATGCTTCATTCTAGG